AAACCCAGTAAGGGATTCTGAGATACATTACCAAGGATATTATTACAAGATAAATCATTTGCTTCATTGAACACATACAACAATGCATATTTCCACTGAGATCAGTGACCTTTGATGTGTATCACCAGTGATCAGTCAAGTAGAAACAGTCGAAATATTTTATCAGTTTTTCTCAATTTTTGCATGATATTTTCATACAGGACATCTGTTGTTCAAACTCAGAGAAGACTTTATACTGATGAACAAGGTGACCAAGTTTGATAAAGTTTGGAATAGAATTAGTAAAGTTATCATGCACACAATAACAAATATTAACGACGACGACAACGAAGACGACGACGACGACAATGCCGGACAAAATCTTTCCCTTAATATACCTTTCCCTTCCATCTTTGATGGTACGGGCAAGGTAAAAACTGTACTAGCTACCTCCCTTGCCCCGCCCCTTTTAAACTACTCCAATCTTGCACTTTTACATCCAGAATATTTACATATTCAAACCATTTGAATGTCCCTATATTGAAAGTCCTGAAGACCATATCAGTGTATATCGCCTATGTCACAAAAGTTTGTACGTTGCTAAGACGCTCACCACTGTACCCTGTATTTCTATGGGCTCTGCGCAGGCTGCTGTGGAACGCCAGTCGAAGACCCGATGAAAACAGATAAAGTTGAGAAAACAGCCCAAACTCAACTTTGAAGTAATCCCGAACAACCAAATTTATATATGTTGCACATGCGAGGGTAATCTTGTTACACTGTTCAAGGGTGTCTCAGCAAATAACAGTGCAAATTATCTAAATAGCTACGTGTATTAGATTGTTTACAAGACAGCATTTTTGTAATTCAATGATTCTGTAACTCGGTGTCCATAACTCAGACAGTTCAGCATCATTGTAGTTGGTTGCCATGAACTAAAGATGGCTCACCTGGTGTTATGATGCAGTCAACCTTGCCAAATATTTCCCGAATAAACTTCATGGAGCGACCTCGTTGCTGATTTGCCTGGACAAAATCAGAGCCAGTGAAGAGTTGGCCTACGCCGTTAGAAGAGATGGTATCTCCTCCCTGCAAATGACAATTGAATTAATATAAAGGTGATGAAGTGGCATTTACATTTATGTAAATACAAGTCATTGAAAATGACACAGTCCCCGTTAAATTTTTGAAAGTTCTCTTTGTGCTCATCATATTAAAGCGGAGGGGTTGTCGCGAGCTATCCTTGAAACTTGAGTTCCAAGTGGCGTATACAACAGATTGTTTATTTACATCAGTAATATGGCCAAAAATAAAAACAGCCGTTATTCGGCCATCTTTGATCTGATTATGAAACACATTGATATGTATGATGTATGTGCCAAATACGAATGACAACTGACAAAGCATGTCCAAAATACAACATTTTCAAAAAACAAGATGGCTGCCAGTCGGCCATTTTGAATTGAATCGCTAAAGCACTGCATGTGCATATGTTTCACATAAGGTACTAGGCACATGCAAACAATGAACAGAATCGATTCACAGGATTCTGAAATATGACTCTGGACAGACTGCTCATGGACGGACGGACGGACGGACGGACGGACGGACAGACGCACAGACTCAGGAACTCACCAACGGTTGGGGACATGTATCCTAACATGTATAATCTATGTACTAAATTTGAATGAAAACTGACAAAGCATGTCCAAAATACAACATTTTCAAAAAACAAGATGGCTGCCAGTCGGCCATCTTTGATCCAATTGCGAAATAAATCGTCATGGACATGTATCCTAACATGTATAATCTATGTACCAAGTTTGAATAAAAACTGACAAAGCATGTCCAAAATACAACATTTTCAAAAAACAAGCTGGCTACCAGTCAGCCATTTTGAATTGAATCGCTAAACCACTGCATGTGCATATGTCCCACATAAAGCACTAGGCACATGCAAAGAATGAACGGAAGCGATCCAAGGGATTCTGAGATACGACTCCGGACGGACACACAGACGCACGGACGGAGACCAAATTATATCTAGTGACACATAGCAGAGTCTGATAGAGTGGAGGATAATATGCATTATTATACATCTGTCACCGTAACGCCATCAGTTTACTGAAACCTAGAATGCCAACAAAAAGTATTTTATGAGATTCATGAGTTTATGATTAGTGATGTAATTTAATCTGAATGTTGCTTCGCACATTGTTGCCATATCTGATGTTAACAATGTTCGAATGTGACGTAAATGTTATGTACATTTTACAAATAAGGAAAGCAACATGTAGACAGTGTGGTGATCGTATCAGCCGACACATAACCCATACTTCCCTAATTTGTAATATTCTTGATATACATGATTATTATCCATCTATTTCCTACTTTTATTAATAATTTATTGAAAGATAATAAGCCAAAATCACAAGGAAAAAAAACAACCTTTTGTGGTCAAAGGAACACTAAAAACTAACTCTCATTGACACCCATATAGCATGTGTTTACAGGGCGCCCTCTTACAATAACAAAATTGCACTGTCACCACTGAGGGGGCTACGCTCAAAATTCATATTATTATATCAATACAGTCGAATAACCCCAAATAATTATTTACCAACAGGCAACTATTCAATGTTTTAATATGTGTTGAACATTTGTTTGTTGAAATGGAGTTAGCCCCTCAAAATGATCTTTGCTTTTCGTTACCACGCATGTCAGTTCGAAAGCAGCACATCACACTAAACATATGTCTTGTTGTTGTGGTATTACCGGGTATTATAATCTTAATGCAAACAAAAATATATACCCAGTCACTTCACTTTTTTTTTTTTTTGCCCCTAAATATCAAATCCATATGCTGATAGAATGCTTGTAGTACATTTGTCACTGAATATTTTCCATACAATAATTAACCTTCCAGCAGTATAGACAATATGTACATATTCTTTGCAGGTGCATAAAAAAATGTGCCTTTAAAAAAAGAATGTTTATGTTACCATTAGATGTAAACAACTGTTGAATTCCTCTCTGTTCATGGTACCCATTTCAGACAGTGCTACACATAAATGTGCTATTCTGAGTTCTTCAAGTTCTGGAATTTGTACGTCCACCACTTTGGCTCCCAGACTCTCTATGTACAGTAATGCTGCAACAAGAATAATAATCTACATTCAGCAAGTTATAACTTAAAGTATGCCCTCTATGGCAATTCAGTAAAAGTATGCCCTCTATGGCAATTCAGTAAAAGTATGCCCTCTATGGCAATTCAGTAAAAGTATGCCCTCTATGGCAATTCAGTAAAAGTATGCCCTCTATGGCAATTCAGTAAAAGTATGCCCTCTATGGCAATTCAGTAAAAGTATGCCCTCTATGGCAACCGTTTTAAGTACAGTCAAACTTGTGTTAGTGACCACCTTTATAGAAAGACCACCTGTCTAAAGTGATCACTTTAAGGCTGTCCCAAGGCATAACATACGAGCAGCCTGTGTATAATGACACCTAGCTGTCATATGTGGCCATTTCTTTCAGCAATATTTTTGTAGATTCGCTTTTGTTTAAAAAAACAAAATAATAATAATGTCATTAAATTAAACCTATTTAATTTTGATTAACTCAAAAAAATATGTTTTTGTTTCATTACCAACTCATTATTTTCTGTACAAATCTTATGTTAAATCAATGAGTTGGTGATCTATAAAAAAAAAAAAAAACCTCCATATCAAGACAACCGTCTGTAAAGACCATTATAGGAAATTTGTATGTGTCAGCAAGCAATGTTCAGAGAAGTGTCCAACGCCTGCACTTCTCATCAGTAGAGTCAGGCATTTGTGTGGAAGACGCTATGGCTCACTATTATTTTGAGGTCTAAATCATTTGAAAATCACAGTATGAAATATTTGTGTTTTTGTTACACAATAGGAAAATGCAAAGTACAAGATGCACTGTTTTGGTGTCTGAATGATACATGTGGCTGTTGTAAGAAGAGAAAATTGAAATCTCAATATTAATGTTTGAAGCAATCGATATATGTTTTCCATAGTATGCAAAGCGAAAATGCAAGAAGTTAAATAGTGCCCTCAACTGGTCAAAATTAAGTTAGAGCTCACATACAAATGAAATCATTAATGTTATATATTTTAGAATTTTTTAATTTTATTTTATATTGATATAGTTTTTTACATGAAATCACAACATAAATAATATTGTTTAATTAGTGATTGTGGGTCCAATTATTAGATTATCAGTTGATTTTAAACTATTAATATTATTGAGAAACAAAGTAACTAAGTTCAGGTGTGTGGATTGGTATACATATTGAATATGGTGTTTGCATTTATGCAATTCTTCCAAACCCAAAACCTTGCATCTCTTAACACTGTAAACCGCTTAATCCGATACCATATCAACATGTACTGCCTATCACCACAGTGTGATGTCACACTACAGTCCCCAGAAAGGGACTGTGGTCACATGATAACATGGTCACATGTTAGATGATAACATGTTTTCTTGTATGATAAATCAAATTATTATACATCTGTCACTGTAACGCCATAGGTTACAGCGTGTCATAATTTTGCGCTATTGCACTGGGTATTTTCATCCTACCATATAAGGAAATGCAAATTCCAAATATGGAACGATTACATGCGTAACCGTACTCTAATATTAAAAAAACAACATGGCTGCCCCCAGGGTTTGACCGCAGCCCATACAAAAAAGTTCGCTTAATCTGTTCCAAACGTTTTGGATTTCGGCATTCCCATGATATATTCCCGAGAGGAAAAGATGTATAATAATGTTATGAGAATGCTGCAAAATATACACTCAGATAGTATGCAGTTGCATTGGCCTCCGCTGCGTGTCGGTCGATACTCCTGCTGTACTGTCTTCGTTCATACTTTGCAGTATCCTCATAATAACCTTACAGTATTGTTTTATCATTGAAAAACAAGACATACTGTATAACACCTTGAAATAACTGCATGCAATTTCAGTGAATTTGACAAGAATTAACAGTCTTAATTTAGCTAAAATGCCAACAATCTCATCGTGGTATTTACTTAAAATTAGCGACATCTTGAATTAGCAAAATTATGGATTAGCTAAATTAGCATATATCCATAGAAAACATTTAAATGACATTCTTACCTTTTTCACATGAAGCAAGTATTTCTGTGCTCGTGTCCTGAAAATACAACACACAATAAATATATTTAGACGTTGAAAGTCAGAGATACATGTACCAGACTCACCATATATCAAACATATATCACAAATGATATTATGTAATGGGATTTATAATTGCTCTATTAGTAGTGTATGTGACTAATAAATACTAATTTTCGCTTGGAATTTATTTTTACTATTTTCACTGAAGGAATGATTCAGTGAAAATAAAATCCAGCAAACATACTATTTTCCTACATTAAACTCATCAAAACTCCATACAAAACACCCAAAAGTTTTTTTCAGCAAAAAATTAATTCCAGCTAAAATAAAGTATTTCACAGTATACAATACACGCAACTGTTCGTTTGTTTACACTTCTATTACAGATGTCTTTATAATAGACCAAATACAGTATTAAAAAAGATTTGGGCAAAAAACAAACAAGGAAACAAAAACCTGCAAAAAGAGTCCAA